TCCAGCTTCCGTGTCCTTCTTATCACTTGCTTCTGAAACGAAGCATAAAGATAATTCGTGAACTTAGTTCTTCATACTACCTTGGTCGCCAAATAGTCAAAGCAATTAAACTGAGTTCTCAGCAGGACAAGGGCAAAATAGTTGAATGTCATGCTGCGTTGTGTAGATGCTAGATTGCTTGTTCCGTTACGTAGTGCTCTGGAAAGATTTATAAGTTATACAGGAGATCTGTCGGTTCTTTTTTTCCCCCAGTTCGCGATATCTGAGCATGAATCTATTGGATACTTTCCTGCTGACCTAAAGCATGATACTTAATATGAAGAAAATGCTTTTGTCCATGATGTTGTCCAAGAAGAAGAGAAGTTAAATCTAAGTCTTCTGTGATTTAACTTTTTCCGTACAATCACAATTATTGCTTTAACCTTGCTTGATAAGATAAATAGAGACGTCTGATTTCATGTTAATTCCTTATTGTGCAGCTGGTTTTTTCTTGGGAGACTTTTGACAAAACCAAGGCTGCAAAAGAACATGTGATTGCTGGATGGAAGCCAAAGGTTGAGGCGTGAAGCTGTTCTAAATTACGACAACTACAAAGCTCCTATCTATTCTGTGACAAGACATGCTATAATTGTCGGTACTTTTTTTGTTTTTTTGTTTTTGGAGGTGTGGGGAGAGAGCGAGGGGGTTGAAAAAGGCGGATGCTATGTCTATGTTTTCTTGTGGTTCGTACTAATACCAGAAACGTGGAGAAGATGCAGAAACAGGAGCACATTTGTAGCTGTCCTTTTACAAATTTGCCGACAATTTTATCTTCTCTGCACATATGCATGTGTATGGTTATCGTAATGTTTTGGGGTCATTTTCTCTTTTTAATGTAAGGGGTGTGTGTGACAATGAGAGAAGATGGGAGGGGAGAATCAAGACTTTCGTTATGGGACGAGGAACGCAGAATCCTAAGCCATATTTTCCATCCCACGGTTGTCAGAGGAGTCTTTATTTATTATTATTTCTTTTTAATAAAGAGAAACGGCTCATGCCCGAGTGCACATGAAGTTGAAACGAGTGTTGGTTTTACCTTCTGCGGTGTTTATTTAAGTAAATGCTTCTTTCTTACTCAAAAAAAGGAAAATAAATTTAGAAAGCTTTATGTGAGAAAAAACAGAAAATGGTTTTATTGACACGGTACAAACTGCAGGTTAAAAAATGGGCCGTAGATTGTGAATTAAATCTTTCGCTCTGCAGATCAAAAAACCTAGAGAAAAATGGCTGTAGATTGAGAGTTTAAATCTCACACGCTGCAGATAAAAAAAATTCTAGGGGTAGGAAAATGGATCTCCCATTCTGCAGATAAAAAATTCTCGGGGAGGAAGATGGGCTGCAGATTGCGAGTTTATCCTGCATTTTTAAAAAGTTTCGGATAATATAATATATCACTAGACTTCTCCAGAGATGTAATCGAGTCGAATTGATACTCAAGAGCTCAATTTGAAAATGCAAGAAGGATTTCGAGCTCAAGCAAGTAGTGTTATTGGAACTTGAGAAGGATTTCGAGCTCAAGCAAGTAGTGTTATTGGAACTTGAGTTCGAGCTTGATGCATTGCTCATAGAACTCGAGCTCGACTCGCATTGACTCGAGTCAATGCGAGCCTTATCGAGTTCGAGTCAAAAAATTTCATTTTCTTGATAATTTTTGAGCGAAAAGATATTATTGCTCTATAAAAATTTTCATACGATTTGAAACATTTCGTAAATTCAACCACTCTTTTGGACATAACGATAATTTCATAATAATAATAATATATTTAAAAATTAAAATTAAAAAATTTGATAATTAAAATTAAAAGGACGAGTCTTGGAGCATTGCACCTAGATACTCGAATTCGATTTGCTCGGCTTATCGATCTACTGAAACTCGACTCGAACTCGATCAATCCGAGCTTGAATCAAGTTCGCGAGTAACTCGGTTCGATTACAACCCTAGACTCCTCTTGTTTGGATGGATATTTCCTTCCAACTTTTTGTACAACTAGATTGGATTATTCTTTACGTCTTTTCTCGAGTTGCTTTCTGCTACGCCCCCGAAGAAGAGGCGTAGCTTCTTGCCACTCTTTAAATTAGGTTAAATATGCTGCAAGCAGTAGTGACTTTTGACAATGATTTGTTCCAAGTTCTGACCCGTGACATAAAACGACCTTGCACATTCTCTTCTAAGTTCTAACGGCTTAACCAGAAATTGAAATTTTCTTATGCTTTGTTTTGGTTTACAGACCTAATATTGTGTGTTTTTCTGTGGCGAAAGAATTTTTTTTTTTTAAGTGAAATATTAGTTCTTAAATAAATGACCAAGTGGGATCTAAATTCTCAACAAAACTTCAATATGAAGATTTTTTAAATTATAAGGAGGGTGAATAGAAAGTAGGGCTGAAAAATGAACCAAATTAGTTGACATTTGAATCGAGTTTGACTTGATAAAAACTCGTTCCATGCTGATTAGTCAAACTAAACTTCAACAAAATAAGTGAAATAAATAAGTCAAATTTAAACAAAATTTTAAACTCGTTAAAATAATCAAACAAGCTGGACAGATTAAATGGACAAAAATATTATAGAATGATTGGATAATTGAGTGGCCTTTGTCATGTTGATTTTATTAGACCTTTGTCATAAACAACTGGCCAAGTGCGCTTCCCACTTAATTCTCCACTCAACAATAATCTCATGCACAACCTTTCTTTTAATTTTTTTTTAATGGAAAGTATGCAATTTTCTGGATATAGCCTTGAATTGTTTAGCAGGACCGTTCCAACAAAAAAAAAAAAAAAAAAAAAAATTGTTTAGCAGCAAATACTAGGGTTCACCAAAAGAGCATTTTTTTTTCATCTGAAAAAATGCAAAACTAACTCGAGGTTCTCCAATCAATAGCAAGATTATGAATCGATTAATAGTAGTTCTGTGCACTTTTTTTTTCACCGTTTCATGCTTCTATTTTGTAGAACATCTGAAATTTTTTTGCCTCATTTCTTCACAGTACCGCCTCTACAGTCTTCCTTCTCCAGACAGACATCCCTGCAAGCCAGCAGCATATGATATGCAAAAACCCCCCATATTCATTTAGAAGTGTGCAGTTGTCAAGACCACAAACAAAAAAAAAAAAGAAGAAGAAGAAACCCTAAAAGTTGAAAGAGAGAGTTGTCCTAATAATACTCGTGAGAAGTCCATTGTCACGATTGATAAGGTGACAAAAAGTTGATTAGTGGTGTCACTGTCATGTTTAGTTGGCAATCCTTAGCAGTGTTCGAATCTCTGTACGAAGAAATCCTTGCGATTCTTCAAAGTTTTAACCTCTTCTATTTGCTCTTATTTCATAGGAGAAGTTCAAGGATGCCATATATTACCATGGCCTCTGAAGTTCACCCCATATCTAAGGAACCATTCCAACATTTTTTGGAAGCGAAATAAATTGTGCAAAAGTTGATTGATTCTCAACTAGGGAGGGAGTAAGTTGAAGCTGGTTGATCATATCCACCATTGAGTTTCAAGAACATCAAATGAACACAATGACGGCCGTTCTGGTGGATGACTTTTCATGACGAACAATATATGGTTCTGTGCAGCTTTTAATTATGTTTTCCAATCCATAGAGTTAAGGCTTCCATAGAGTTAAGGCCTAAAAAGAACAGTAAAATCCATGCAGAAAAAAGAAGAAGAAGAAGAACAAATAGCCTTTCTTTTGGGCCTTACAACAATAATTTCAAGGGATAGTGCTACTTCTTTAAACCTTTTTTTTTTTTGAACTCTAGAAGAAAAGCTCATTGTCACCTACAGTTTCTCAATCAAGACCACATATTTTTGTATCTCTATCCCTTGTAAAGTTTGGATTCTCTCTTGAACCTCAATAGAGAAAAAAAATGGATATCATTTTGCCCTTTGTCAATCAATAGTGCTCCTTTCATAAGGTAAAATCTCAAAGCTGTATCACTAACTTGCCATCCATAAAAGGGCAAAAAGTACTTCCAGACGTCAGGTTCTTTTACGACTTTCTCAAGAATATAATGATCGTAAATTTTTTTTACTATAGCCATCACAAAAGAAAGTATTTTGTTTGGTAAAGAGCAGCACGAGTTAATTAACCTTCGTAAACGGTTGAAGGTCTAAAAAGAAAGAGACTTGAGATGGCGTCAATTGATACCAACAATTTTCAGGAGCTCAAAGTGAATAAGATTTTTTTTTTTTTTTTGTCTGAGTGGGCAAAATACAGTTGAATGCAAAGTTACTAACCATAGGGATAATATATGAAGTCACTAAGTTGACCTTCCCGAGTTTAAGGTGTAGAAATCCAAATACAGCATATCCAATTCATCCTTCTTAAACATTTTGTTAAATGCCTATGCAGTATGCATCCTCTCTAATCTCAGTCTTCGTATGAAACAGAAAACACAACCAATGAAATGAGTACTAAACCTTTTCCCAAACACAAGAATGCCAATTAAGTGCAAATTCCGTTCTTTTTTTTCACTTTGGTTAGTTTGCAGGCAAATTTTTGAAATCACAACCCATCCAACTTTTTTGAAGGAAAATAACATTTGTGCAATTGGCAATCCCTGCGATCATATATCATCCAAGAAGTGTTAAAGCGACTTATTACTGCCTTTAATCTATGCTTTATGTGGTTGAATATATTAAAGAATAAAAACTTTAATTGACAATTCTATCCAATTGTGCAATCGGGATTCGTGAAACTAGCATCTGAAGGAACTTGGGATTGCAATTAGCCACAAAGCGTCCACATGCACCAGAAATTTCAAGGTAAAATTTGATGCAAAATGTTTGGGGAAAAAAGAAAAAAGAACATCAAGTCGAGAATGTTAAACAGGTGCAGCAAGGATCATGATTGCGACCTCGCAAGGAAAGAAACAGGCAGTCCCACATTCGATGCTTCATTTACTAATTCAATCCTACTGAGTTACAAACATATGCATGTCACATGATGCAACCTTCAATGGTCATAAATAACAGCAAAGAAACAAATTTATTTATATAGAATGATAGACGATAGTAACAAATCAAAGAAAGAATCCAGGTCAGGTACCCTTCTTGCATTTCCACCCTCCAATAATATGTCACCCTCTAGAATATTCACAAAACACACATAATAATAATAATAATAATGAGGCATCCATATGTTTGTCATTACTCGACGATCATATGATCAGGAAATAGCAAAGATTGCACAAGGAAACCTTTCCTATCTGGGGGATGTGGCACGTCTTGATAGGAAATCCTCAAGATTTCATTGATTATGTGGAAAGGGACCACATAGTACTAAGTCCGTAGTTTCAATTTTCAATGATGTAGGGGCCCTTTTAAAATATTCTATATGAGTTTGGCTGGATGTGAAGAATTCATATGTGAAGTGAGGAGGTTAAGGTATAAGAATTATAAGAAACGGCATCCCAACCAGTAAATCATAACTTTGATTTCTATGGCGTGTTAATCTTCTGGATCCTTGGGATTTTCCTCATCACGATCATCATCATCATCATTGTGATCATGATCAGATACTATCTTTTGAATCATTGCATTTGTTTCTGCCTCTGACATTCGATCTTCCTTCTTCTGAGATCGAGAATAGGCCTCAAAGAATTCTTTGTTCTCTTTCTCTAGTTCATTCCACACTGCAGTAGATCAAAAGTGCTTTAGATGCACATCAAAATTCCACGTTACGTTACGGAAGATATGGCCAATCATCTCTAAAATTTCTTCCACATCATGATTTTATGAAAATTTTTCAACAACAGAAACCATTCCTGCTGTCTTCAGTAGTGATCGCTAGGTTCATAATACTGTAATTTCTCACACTCCTCAGGATCGTTGCTTCAATAAGCAAGATGTCTATTATCTTAATCTCATATTTTCCCTTGAAAGATATTGAACTTAATTGCTAACTTTCTTTCTTCTTCCTCGTGACTTTATCGTGTCAGTAAAAGGAGAGGCAGTTTTCAGAGTCATGCATGATGCAACTGCACAACTGTGCATGCATGCAACTTGTATCATTAGCTATCAAGTGCAGATAGAAAGTCCAAACACAGCAACGAGTTGAAACAAATAAACTAACCAGTAGCAGTGATGACTGGTGTGATGTTCGCATGCTTGGAGAGGGCTTTCACGCACTCTTCTTTGCTCATGTTGAAGATAAGGCACTTCTCTATTAGGTGCTGCACCTAAATCAGATCATCCATTTAGGTCATTATTCAAAGCAAAAGAACCACCAGCTTACAATCATATATTACTTGGTAGGCAAGATAACCAATACCATATGTAGAAACATGTATGACTTCAAAGCCAGAACACTGTTACAACAAAAATCTTTCATGAAAAAACATGTATGTAGCACAAAACCACTGATATAATCTGTCAAGGTATATCTGCTTTAATTACCATATGTATGTACGAAGCAGAAGAGTCCCCCATAATGTTAAGATATGATGTGATTCACATAAACAAGATTCAGAAGAGAATTTAATTAAACTCAATATGAAATATATGAAGAGAGAGAGAGAGAAAGAGAGAGATCGGGTGAAGCATATATGATGCTAGATGATCATGAGTTATGGCAGTGCAATAAGCATTAGATTATATAGCGAAGGGAAAAGAAGTAATGGTGAGGTTGGGCCAAAGTCCCACGTGGGAGATGGATAATAATTGGTGGAGAGGGGATTAGAGGAGATTTGTAAACGACCATTTCTTTGTCTTGTGGGATTTTGCAATTAGGCAGCCCCCTTCCACGTGATGAAGGGGACCCCCCCATTTAGGAATGCTCTGAATTTGACAATCCACCAAAACCAGATGGCATCCTACTAGAGCAACAAATTATCCGCTCGGCCATCATGGACCAATCTTCAACAAACACGTGGCCAATTGTTTAAAGATTTGGCCACCCTAAAAATATAGAAGGGCATGTGTGTCTTTTGAATCAATTTCCATGAATATTCTGCTCTACTACAAGGTTGTGCATATTGTAAGTTGGGATTAGTTATCAGCACCAAAATAACCGAAAGACTCGCAAAATGCCAGTTTAGACACTGTTTCTTTCGGCTTCTTGCATCGGACTGAGCCAATTCATCTTTCTAACTCACAATCAACTCAACGTCTTGTCTTGCTTTACATGTTGTTTTCAATCCCTCTCAGTCTCCTCTCTAGAAAGACCAGCTTGTGGGGGGGATAATATTGCCATTTCTAGGATCTGACATATGCAACTTTGGCTGACTCCCCTCTATTCACCCAAAGCGAGGCCCAAAACTTGATGTCTTTCATGCATCTTTCAGCTCTTGATCACTTGCTAAAAAGCAAACTACAAAACCACAGCAATTCTTCTAGCGCAGAAGGCCCTTTACCACACTTATTCTGGGCTGTAAATGGGTTGCATTATTTCCTGCACTCTTTGTCAATCATGTTACCCTGACAACCCTAAAATAATAGCTAATTTCTCATGCCTGTATTAAAATCTAGTGTTTAACAATTTTCAGACAAGGCTATGATCTATAGATACATGTCTATAATTCCCTAAAAATTTTGAATAAAGGAATCACCTTCCAGTCTTCTTGATTAGAAGGAAAGCTATGTGAGAAATGAAGTGAATGTGAGAAATGAAGTGAAGTAAAATAAAGAGAAAATCACTTTTTCATGCATCTTTCTATGACAAGAAAATTTTTGAGGTAAAATAGGCAGCTAGTGGTAGTTATTGAGAATACTGTGTGTAACTAACATTTTTCCCTTCAAAATCCTGCAAATTTTGCAGGACACAAATTCACTAAAGTGTGGCTAAGTGTAAAAATATTTAGTAGCATTCCTGCTAAACAAACATTATACAAAGGACAAATGACAAACTTCCTTCACTTTCTTAAACTCTTCCATGCAAACGAACACTACCGAAAGGATTGCTTTTTCTCTCCTTTTTGAACATTCATGATGAGAATAATTAAATCAAACAATTCCTTTTGCTAAGCAGTACCAACTAGCCAGGACTATGGGTCATAGAAATAAGACGAAATTCATAAATCCTTGTGATATCTCAGTCCAACTATCACAAGTCATGTCAAATAATTGAGACTAGAAGCGATTTCAAATCTTCACTTGTTTTTTGGTTCTTCTCCTTCCTTTTAATAAGTAAGGAGGAGGTGTTGTAGTTTTGGACTTTCTACATAATTATTGACAATCGTATTCGATGGACTTGATAAGAGGATATTGGTAATATGTTATCTGTGGTTCTCACATGATCTCTAGCTGCCTTCATATTGCTCTCTGCAGCATACCAGCGATAAGGCTTTGAAGGTGCACAAACATCAAAGCTAAATTGGAAACATGTACGCCTCACCTAGAAGCAGAAAATGATAGGATCCTACATCCCAAGTTTTTTAGCCAGTTCACCAACTCTCATGGCTGTATGTGCTTAAAAGTATGGATTCAGCTTCACTACATGTCAGCTGCTGATTGGTTTGGAATGAAGAAGGAAGCCTAAACTTATAATCCTTGATTTCCTATCCAAGCTATCTGTGAAAACTATCAAGAGAAAGTTACCCTGTCAAGGCCAAGTGGAGGGCGAGCTTAGAGAATCGATAGCCAACCACTGTCTAGCAGCAGCAATATGACACTCAGAGAATCAAGAAGAAACATTACACAATCCCTTTGGACCAATTAATGCTTTGAAAGGGTAATAAGTCATTCCTAAGAATCTCAACCTGCGAAAATGAAGACACAAAAGGTCCTTATCATTGATCACTTTTTAAGCTCAAAAATACAAATTAAGAAGGGAAACACTCGAGTAAACACACATTCAAGTGCCGACCACAAGCTTAGTGGTTAATAATCAATTAAACAGCAAAATACACATCAACTAGCATAATAGAAAAGGATCATCTTTCTTTGGCCAAAAAGCTCAGTGAGACAAGCATTATTGACTACATATTCAACCTAATTTGGAGAAAACAATAATTTGTAATAATCATCATCCATGTTAAAGAGAATTTATGGTTCACCAACAGCATGAAAATCTAATGAATTACAAGACAAATAAAAGTAGCTGAAAAAAAAAGCGTGTAGCACTAACAAATGTTCTCAACAATCTTAGAAGGATGCATAACCACTAAGATCATTTCTCAGTAATTTTCATTCCGGCTGAAAGTAGGAATAGATAAGCAAACAAAATAATCATGGTGAAGCCCACAACTTTCCCAATTTTAGAAGCCAAATTTTTTTCCATTACCTTTGGAATATGAATTTTGAGGAAATCGAAATTATCAGTAGGGAAAATCATTCAAAACATCCATCACATTTTGCCAAATGAATTTTTTGTCCTTCACTTTTAAAATGTTAACTTTATGTCCTTTACAAATTCAAGTTAATAAAACTTAGTCCCAACCTAATTTTTTGACTACTTTTTACCCTAAATCCATCATGTGACTCGCACAGTCTTTTTTTTTTTTTTTCTTTTTGCGACAAAAAGGCTAGTTCTTACTGTAGTTAAACAAATGACTCAATTCATATTTGTTTTTGCCCCTAAAAAAGTAAGATGCAACCCAAACCATATTCATTTTTGCCATTAAAAAAGTGAGATCTGACTCTATTCATATTTGTTTTTGCTATTAAAAAAGTGAGATCTAAACTTTTTGTAAGTAAAAAAGAACTGCATATGGGTTACATAGTGATTTCAGGTTAAAAAGTGATCAGAAATCTAGATCGGAACTAGATTTTGCTAACTAGATGTTACTTTATAAATAATATCATTTGCTCACTTTCTTATAAGTTGCCAGTTTTACCAGTTCTCCAATTTCATGTGGTATTAATAAATCCTAAGCATCCAGCATAATTGCCTTATTACGCATTTTAGTAGATATTCCAAATAAGCATGCTGCATCCGATACAGCAGTGTAAAATAAAATTGCAGCAAAAACTGCGTCTCTAGTGCTACAACAAATGTCACAGGTTATTATAGTAGTAAAAAAATTTCTAGAGTTGCAGAAGCAGAAATAGTACCTTTCTATGTCAAATTGGGAGTCCGTATGCTCTTTTTTATTTTGCAAGTAGTAGTGGGACTAGTTTTTGGGCAACACGACAAATTCGTCCCCCTACACGTCAAATTGCACCATCTTAAAGTCACTGGTAACTATAACAATATATCACTCCAGCATAAACCAGAAATTGAATTGAAACATTTCAAGGCTAAAAAGGGAATCATGTGGAGTAATTATTAAGCATAAGTCGGCAATTTCAAAATTTCTTTGAGAAGTTCTAGAAATTTTACCCGATTCTGGATCCGATGAGTTGTTCACCATTTTTTTTCCCTTATTCTCCATTTCGGCTCTAGCCCGAGAAAAATGAGGAGACCGGGGAGGGGGGGGGGGTTGGGCTTTACGGAGTAGTAGCAGCAGCTTAAGAGGTTTGTGATCTGCAAGTGAGAGAGTCAGATTCTTAGGCCAAAATGTATCGAATGAGGACAAGACATCCCCCAAAGGCCAGAACAACCGACAAAACGACACCGACGGGAAGGTAAATGGTGTACTCGCAAATACTGTTGTAGTGAGGAGGAGGCAAATGGCAGTAAATATAGTAGCAAGAAAGGTAATTTTCATTGCACAGGACCGGACCTTGTACTTTTGTAAAATAACAGCAACCGCCGTAATTTTATGGCAAAAAAAGAGGATTCAGTGCCATTTCTTTTTGGGAAAATTGCAGAAACCTCCCCTGAAACTACTGACAGTTGCACTGAGCTCCCCTCTAAGTTCTGAAATGGCAGATAGCACCCCTCAACAGGAACATTAAGTTGCAAAATCAGTCCAGGCAGCTTCAATTCCCATTAAAAAATTAGCTGTACAAGTGAGATAAAAAATTTGTTCCAAATTTGCCCTGATGTTGGTTGACAAGTAGTATTAACAAGGGAGGGGCTTTTTCATTAAGCACAAGGAAGTTCAGGGGGTATAAATGCAACAACATGCTTCCAGATGATGACCTGCAACAACTTCATTTGCTGAGAAACCAACGGCTACTTAACGGCTAATTGATGTAACTAAGGCACTAGCTTATAAACGATGGTCAGTAGCAAAATGAATACCAGAATCTGGACTCATGTATGCAGCAGCAATTTTCCAGCTCAAAACACAGCTTGCTTGATACTCAGTTTGGCAGTTTCAAGTCATATTGCAGAAATCAGAAAATGGCTTCTTCCAGCCACAGGAGAACATCATGGAACTCTCCTACATCCTTCACAATACAAAACAAATATTGCTGGTGCAATAGAAAGGCAACATTGAAGATTTCTGAGTCTGAAAACAACCCCAACAAATTATACTTTTTTGGGTAAACAACAAAAAAGCCCCCTGTGGTTAGGCAATCATACATAAAAACCCCTTGTGGTTTCATATCATACCAGTCGATACCCCGTGGTTTGAATTAACCTGAAAAGTGGACGGAAATCGTCAAATATTCGGCGTGTGTCTTAAACGAACTGCAAAGGCGCGTGCATATGCGAAAAACAGATTTCCACCACAAACTTTCACCTGATATGCCTATTTTAGCCTTCACTCTTTAATAATAAGAGACCAGCTTCCGTTTCTTCTGAGTCTTCATTCAATCTGTTTCCAGATTATTCATTAACTACTGTAGACACCAAATTTTTAGTGTATTTTTATTTACTGTTATTTTTATTTTTCATGCTAGTTTTTATTTACTTTTAGTCTTTTATTTTTGTTTTAAGTCATTTTAGCATAGAATTTATTTTTAAAAAAAAAAAAAGAGGGAACCCCGCAAGCGGGTTTCAGGCTATTTAACAAATTACTTAAAAAAAAAAAATTTTTTTTACATGCAAGCTGCGTTGAGTTGCACATGCCCATCGGAGGGCCCTAGGATGCCCAGCAAAACCTCCCCTCTCATCCTCACCCTTCAGGTGAGGGTTTGAGAGTATGTGTTTGATATAAATAGAACAGAAACGCAGCTTTTAGTCATTTTACATAAAGGGGAAACCCGCAAGCGGGTTTCAGGCAGGCTATTTAACAGAATTTTATCTGCAAGGCACACTCTCTTATGCTGCAAGTAGGCAGCTTGTCACCTCAAGAGCAACTTGTAACAAATTGGCGCCAATTCATGGCGCCATCTTCCTCAGCAATTGCCGCCCTGTTCTTGCCTCTAAAACTAGTCTCACACTAAAGCATACCCTTAATCAAAGCTGGACGGAGACTGCAACTTGAGTTAGTTAGTTAGTTAGTTAATTAAGAAGTTAATTAACTAATTAGATAATTAGTTAAGCATCTAAAGTTAATTAGTTATTTATGTCAACAGATAATTAGTTAATTAATTAATTAGATTATTAGTTATTTAGTTATTTAGTTAAACTATGCATAAATAGTTAATTTAGTGTAAACTACAATTATCAAAATGACAAACGTTTTACTAGGTTTAAGTCATCACATTCTTTGGTAAAATTAAATTTTAGTGAGGGTATTTTAGTAAATTGACAATGAAGAATGTATTAAATTGTGTCAGTCTTTTTTTAGGGAGGTGATTGCTATTTTAAACTTCATAGGGGAGGTCAATGCTATTACCATAAAACTCAGGGGAGGTTTCTGCAATTATCCCTTTCTTTTTCGAATGAATTCAAAGGATTCGGTAAACTTAATCATGCCGGGTAAATTTGCTCAAATTATCTTACATAAAGCTAGAACCTAGAAGAGGCTTATATAGGGGTGCACCGAGGTTAATCAAATTGAACTTGTATTTGAGTTTGACTTGTCAGTATATCTAACTAAATTAAAATATGATTTTAGCGAATCGAGCTCGATTTGAGCTCAAATAAATTGAATATTTTACGTGTAAATTTCTAATGTTAAGTTAATCGAATTAAATTCAAGCCTAATTTGACCAAACACAAAATGCAATTCATGTTTCATTATTAGTTGGAGAAGAAGTTCAGATGAATTAAGTTTGATTCAAGTATTATGCGATTTGGTTCAATTTTCAGCCCAAGACTTCTAATGTTTACACCTTTGGTAATTTTTTTGGTTATCTCAAATAGTAAGCAACTCACTCAATTATAGTGATGTTTACTAGTTCTAACAATTATAGTGGTGTTTGATGTTAAGACTTTGTAACTCAACCCTTGATCAAACTTCAATTACAAGCTTTTAATAGACAATTGCTCATGCCTCTCCTAATTTCCGGCAACTTCTCTCTTCTTCAATTCTCATCTCGTTGCACATCACTTTATGAATTTGCAAGAATATACAGCGGGCCAACCTAAGTAAAAATTGTAGCTTAACAAGGCTCGACCATGACTACTGCCCGAGGAATACGTTTCTTAAATTTTAGAAATCGCTGTTAGGAAAAGGTTTTGACTGAGAATTGGCGGGTGGTTGGGAGGCCCGCTCAAGCGAGTTCTGCGAAAGTAAGCAGCGTCAACGCTTGGCCAGCCTATAACCCCTCCATAAATTCTTGCGCCACACGATTGGTCATAAGCGCTGCAAACGGCTCTCACCGTTTGCTTTGTTTTCCTTACTCATTAGTTTAAGGCAAGTTTCTACGTTGGAAGTTGTTCTGCTTTTGAAGCTGCCAAGGTCAGTAAGATTTCTGTCATCCTCCGATGTGGGACTAATAACGAGTCGTATGCAAAGAGAATATCCCCGCCAGACCATCTAATATCCAGACCATCTAATATGGCAGAAATCGTTGGGCTACAGCTTGGGTCAACAAATTAGCAGTTATACAACCAAATACAAACCGGAACAAGTGAAATCAGTGATACAGTTAGTCCTCTCTCTCTCTCTCTATTTTTTTTTTGTTATAATAAAACTCCATCGGCCCCCGTATCCCCCATCTACCTCTTTGCCTACCCGCCTTCTAAGAGCATTGTAGGTGGGATCCCAGAAGCTAGACTCGAGACGAATTTGGAAAGATGATAAATAATCAGCACACGTATTCCTTTCCCGCTGCGCTTGCACCATTTTCCAGTCTCTGCGCAATTTGAACTTTTAAGAATTGAGAGCTGTCCAGGTTGAATCCTTGGTTCAATTTACTTGTTTGCCTTCAGTTTCCCAACATGTTTAAAACCCAGATGACCAGCATTAACTGGGCAAAAATTCATACTAGCATGCCCAATTAGCTTGTTGCAGTTCACTAAAGTACTACGGCCACCATTTCTGTCTCTCCATCCATCGACAAAGAATGGATATTTTAATGGTCACCGCTGGTGAAAAGATTCAAGCAGATCCTAACCTGGAAATTTCGGGGTTCAGCTGTTCAAGCATAGGATGCACATGCTGTAATGATACAAAACAAGACTGACTGAAATGACAAGGGAATGGAATGGATTTCCGATTTGAATACTCTGTTAAGTGTATTTTACAACTAAAAACCTACTTACAATAAATCAATCAAGCCAGACATGCTGGGAATGAATGGATATACATACATACAACAATTAGCTACAGAACCCGCAGACTTCAATTCCCCTTCTATCCCCGGGAAAAAAGGAAAAATGAAGGGCACAGAAACAGACTGCTCTCATAAAAGATGCTGGACTGGGCAAATGGTTATGTAGAGAAGGTCCATGTCCTAGGTTGGCCCGCATAAGGTTGGCCTAGTTGGCAGAGCCTAGGATCTTCAATTCTTCATCACTTCCTGAATAAAAGTGGTTCCAATTGAGAGTCTGAATCTTTGGAACCAAGTGTACTTTTATGACCCGTCTCCAGATCAGTGCTAGAGAACTCTTCTGCTCTCTGTTTCATTAGTCTTCTCAGAAAGCTTGGTCTGTCGTCCACCAAGGATTCTGATGATTTCTTATGAGCTCCATTCAGATTCTGCACATGCTGAAGGCAAACTTGAACCGCATCATGGACTCTAACAAAATACCACTCTTTGCCAATCAGATCAACAAGACCAGATCTTGTGAGAGTCAGCAAAACGTCCCGGTTTGGGTTGGAGATGGCAACCTGCATAACAGCTGAGTTGTTATAGATAATTATACTGTCCCAAACAATTTTATGATGCAATTTAAACTTTGAATTCTCCAGCTAAAGAGATTGTCAACCTGAATATTCCTCGACTTGTATTCTTGATACAAGTCTTTCAAAGCTTGGACTGCACTGGAGTCTATATACGTAACGGCTGACAGAGAGACAGAAGAACGTCAAAAGAACACCCAGGGGAAAAGTAAAACTCTTGCAAGTTTCTTGACCATTTTCATCATCAAATTATGGCAAGGTAAGACTTCAAAACATAGCTTGAGCGACAGCTAAAAAGTATGGAAAGGAGTAACTCTTGACGAATTGGGTCTGTCATAGAAATAAAGGTCCCAATAATAGAATCTTACGTGCCATCTCAATGATCACAAAATAAATTCTTTCAACTTCAGGTCCACGGCTGGTAGAAACATCAATCTCATATTCATATTCACGAAGCCTGAGTAGGAAAATCAGGGACTTCAGTATTTCATCCCCAATTTGTAAACAAAAACTGAAAGATGCAGTTAATATAACTACAGGAAAAAAAAAAAACAATCACCTGTCTTTTATGTAACTTATATTTGCAAAATAAATAGGAGAATCAACACGAACAATGACTATCCCATTGTATGTATATGCTTCTGGATACTGTTCAATGTTTCTATAGACGGTGGTTCCAGGAAGACGACCCAAAACAGCTGTGGAAAAGTGTTGATCAATAATGCCTCAATGTAGCACAATTAAGTATTAACAATGATACAAATTGAAGACTAAAAATACACCAAAGTTTAGTTTCTTATGAAATTCTTCGTTTGAACATCAATGATTTAATTTATCTCCCACTGAATAGTCATCAAACACCCTAAATAACAGGAGAATGTGTTCAAAGCTCTAATGCCACTACTTGAAAGGAATGAACTGACAGGTGAAGGAACACCATTACTTTTGTCTGGAGAGAACATGATATTTAGAATGAGTTATGAGAATCAGTACTTTTTTTTTCCTTTTTTGGATAACAAATATCACAGTGAGCCGAATAAAACATGAAAAATAGGATATTCGAATGTCATAAAAAAGAAGAACATTGTTGACATGACCAACTTTAAAGGGGGCAAGGGCTCTTAAGCCCCAATGTGAAATTTGGTAGAACCACAATAAGTGGATCGTCATGACATCAGTATATTCGTTGCACCAAAATACACACATGATGGACTGATAAAGTAAGATGACTCACCAACATGTGGGTTTGCTGATTCATGAATGACAAAAGCCAGTGAAGCACCAACCTGCAGATATATGCACCAACATTTGCATTTGACACATCTAAAAACCAATTCCATCACAACGATCTTGAAATCTGAAATCCCAACTTGAAGTCCACAAATTTAAGTAGACAAAATGATGATTTTCTGATATTCAACTTACACCCACAAGGACACCAATCTCAATGCCAAGGAACAAGGTAGTTATGCAGGTAATCATCCAGAGGAGAAAATCCTTCTTATCTACACGCCACAAGAAAACAGCCTCGTCATAATCCACCTGAAATGTGAATCATTAAATCATCGACAATGCTGTATTCTGAACAAGGAAAATGCAATAACATGCACTTTCATTTGTGTATGCAGAAAATCAGGAAAGCAGTTTTGGGCAAATTATAGAAACAATTTTCCTTGTTAGGGATAGGTGCATTGAATTAGAACTCCATAACCTAAACAACAGAATCTTTTCTAGTATAAGTAAATCCCTAAGTCAACAAACAGCAGTTTATGAGGAACCCCAAAATAAAAGATGGGAGTAATAACAGAGATTATATGCTGTAATAGTATCCCAAAGTTTGCTGTACTTTGAACATATAACTAGGAATCAAATATCTTCGATTTTGGAGCATAAGATGTTATAGCCCAACTATATATAGGCTAAAACTCTCTCAAAAGGCAAACTCAAAAACTGAAAACACAGAATAACTCCAACTCAATGGGAGTAACTAGTTGATAGACATAGGACCAAGGAAATACCAATTATCTAACTTTTACTATTCTACAGCCAACAAACTTTTACAGACTTAAATCACACTGAGATCAAAATCAAGCAACTAACTCACTACCAGTGACTGCCAGAAACAGTTTCCAGAACCAAAAACATGATTTGTGTCTACATTAGCAGCAAATCTCTCCTTTTAACCTAACAACTTGTCCTTCAATGATCATATAGGAGTAGGAACGCATTAGTTAGTGAAAAACCAATATAATAAGCATAAAGGAAATAAAGAAGTTAAGCCCAAACTCGTTGTTTGAAGAAAATTCTTGACCCTTAAGAACTCGGCAGTAGAATTCAAAGCTTGATTTCATATAGACCGACTAATTTAAAGAGTTAAAACCTAAGTTTGAATACCATAATAGTCCAATGCACATAGTAGATACGTACTCTTAAGCTGTTAACATAAGCACGGACTGGTAAACATTGTGCCTAAGTCTGATCATAAAATTGACCGATCGAGTTGAGTCACGTCCAGTCGAGTAGTGCACAACTCGAGCTCAACTCAAGTTAAAGTACCTGAGCTCAAGCTCGACTTCAGTGTACCTTACTCGAGCTCAATCGAGTTTAATCCAGCTCAGTCCAGCTTACGTAATACAAATTAATATTTTATATAATCTAAAACAAGGGATATAATTGACATTTAAAACTAATAAATAAATAAAAATATTAATATTAATATATTAGTTGATATATATACAGTACTTGACAGTTGATAAGGCTTGTCTAGCCTACAAGCATCACTTGTTCATACTCGAACTCGACTTAAATTACCTATCAAATAGCTCGAACACATCTTCAATGTGACAAATTCATGGGTGTCTAATATTACAGTGTGCAAAGCAACCTTCCACAAGGACTCTATTGAGGGAAGAATTACCATGAAGAAAATACTTAAAAGTTGTACAAATAGCAATTTAGAATGGTCCCAACATATTACTCTTAGACAAAGCAAGCAAGAAAAGAGAAACAAATGCTGAAGCACATTGAAGAAATGTAAAAGGTACTTCAGTACTATGCAAAAGTGTAGCCTAAGTCAACATGCACCACATAAAATCTGAAAGGATGGCAGACGCACCAGCCCTATCACAGCAGAAATGACAATAGCAGCCAGCACGCACTGCAAAATCAGAGAAAAGTATATGGAGTAGCCCACAGTGAGAGACAGAAGCATCTCAAAGATATATTCAAGAGATTCATTAATAAGATTACAGAATTTTTACTAAATTCAAATAAGTAATCCAAATTCTTGTATTTATCAACTATTATATGTTCAGTTGAAGAAAGGCCACTCAACGGTATACAACAATGTTAGAGGATATTGTGAACTAGAGGCTAAACCTTAAACTCCAGAAGATGAAACAATTAATTTCGGGTCTTATTTTCTTTACAGAAGACTGGCACTAAAAGCTTATACACATTCATCTGCACTTACATTGAAGTCATTAATGCATCAGTAAGTAGAAAGACCTGGGGTATGTATTCGAATAGTGGAGTCATGAATAGAAGAGCACATCCCATTATTATACCCATCACTATGCCAGATAAGCCAGTTTTTGCTCCACTTTCATGATTTACAGCAGATCTAGAAAATGAACCTGTAAGACAATTTAGAACTTCTCAGAAGCATGCAGGTAGGAAACGAGGATCATAATACTGAATGCTGCAGACAAGTTCCTAGTCATTGATAACAAGCATAGAAAATGCCACAGAAGTTTTTGGCTTGCAAGATGTGAGAAAATGCACCTGTTGTTGGGTATATAGAGAAGAATGAACCAACAATATTGGCCACACCGAGTCCAAACAACTGTCAAAAGACAAAAACAGGTTTGTTGATAGTAAGAGTGTGTGCTATTTGCTACCTATACTGCAGTAACTGAACATTGCATAAGAATAACTCCAAAGGGGTAAATCACAAAAGTTCTTTCCACAGCCAGCTTTATGTTTAACCCAATGGGCAGGAAAAAGAACGAAAATGCGAAAAGAAGACGAAGAAAAACCCATGTCTGCTGAAAGTTTACGTGGCCCATTCACCAGTCATTAAATTGATCATTTCCTCAAATTCACATTTGGCCAAAAGACTTTCAAAATATTTACAATGACAATTAAGTGAATTAACAACAAAAGGCATTAGGCATGTCTTGAAAGAACTTTATTTTGTACACTCAAAAGAAGATTTATTCAAAATACATAAACATAATAACAATATCAAGCCAATGAGATTAGTAGGCAAAGTACCCTGATGTCAACCATAAACAATAAACAATTGATTTGAATGAGAGGCTGTGCTATTTGTTAACCATAAACAACTGATTGTGGAATGAGACTGATGTCAGAATTGTTACAAATGAGATGCAGGCAAATTCAATCTATACTCTCTAATTCTTTATCCTGCAAGCTTTTGCAAGACATACCTCTTGATTTGAATCTAATTTGTCCTGTGCTATTTCTTAACCATAAAAAACTGATTGTGGAATGAGACTGATTTCAGAATTGTTACAAATAAGACGCAGGCAAATTCAATCTATACTCTGTAATTCTTTATCCCGCAAGCTTTTGCAAGACATACCTCTTGATTTGAATCTAATTCATATCCATTCTTCGCCGCCAGAGCTTTGGCTATCCCCACAGATTCCTAGATATTTAATGAAAAGTGTTAAGTTGACCGCTCACAACAAAACATAACTTGCAAAGTCTTTCAACATAAATGCTGAGACTGTTTTCTTACCAAAATAGCCACACCAGTAATTAGAATGGCAGTAGGAATTAGTGATGTAACATGCCCAAATTCCTTGGGAATGGAGAACTTTGGCAGCCCTTGAGGTATGTCACCAACCTGAAAGAGTAATCACTCAATGTTCATAATGATGTTACACTTTGATCAACATCAAATTCTCTGAAGTGAAATGGCGTGCAATAGTATTTGATCAACATGTAAAACACATATATCAGCTGAGGCCATAAGTAGACAAAGAAGGCAGAGAAATTTTCAAAATTTTCCTCTGAAAGTGCCTTTGATGTGACATTGGTAAGAGATACAATCGCTTTTGTGACATCTGGAATTCTGGCAGTGGTTGCCTAACTGACATCTTACAGCGTCTGGTTTATTTTGTAGTAAAACTTTCATTGTCCAAACTAATTTTTCTCACTTGAGGACAACTATCCTTTTACCCCAAAATCTTGGAACAGGAAACAGCATTGAACAAGTTTATCCCGGTGAAAACCCATGACATCACTTTTCCTCGAGTTATCAAAAGAAATTAAAAAAAAAGGTCTCGAGTAAAGCAACACCTTTTGTAATGTCAACAAATGTTTGACGCTCACAGAAGTTTATATGCTGAAATCCTATTAGACATATGAAATGCAACTTACCTCTTTATCATGCATTGCTGAAGTGAATGCTCAACTACGAATCAAAGCCTTTTCATTCTCAATATATTCAAGCGAATTTAGGAGTTTTTGCCTTGGCTAATGTAGAAGTCTATTTACAGTGACAGAAGGAAAAAGAGATAATAAAAAAATCCACACAACAAGATGCAATTATATTAGTTGTTAATGGATGACAGGCAAATAATTCCCCCCACCCCTAACCCCACAAAAGATGAGTGAACAGAAACCTGGAATGGTGTAGCTTCTCCACATATACTATGGGCAGTATGGTTCATATAGAAACATGAATTCATTGGCAAAACTAGAAAAAGCACAGATGACATCCATATTTTGCAATTACACCATATGAAAAGTCATCTTTTTTAACCCCACATTTTGACAATATCCATGGTATTACTTGATAACAACCAGGAAGATGACCACAGAAGGGCATTTTGTCCGATCAAAGTGCCACCTATTCAACAATACCTAGGCCTATCTGGAAAAACATCAATGTGCAATAGCAACTTAAAGTTTCCTGCATATTTCCAGGGTTGAGCAGACCATTGCCAAATAACTATACCCTAAATTCTGTTTTCTGCAAGAAAATATTAATGTAAATGCATGGAGCAGAATTAAAAAACACTGAGATATAAAGTCAGATGATTACATTTCACACAACAAACTTTACACTAACTTTTTTCTGCTGTACTTTAGAGATTCAAATTCAGCTCCCAAGTTTAAGCTCTTTAATGTGATTCTCACCAATGAAATTGAAGATGGGTGATAGATTTTCACAAAGGTTGTACCAAGAACTACAGCGGTAAGAGGACCAGCAGCTCGCAGAAATCTCAAGTGCTTTCTTTTCCCCTGCAGCCAAAGTCAGCAAAATATTTATACTCTTATGGTCACGCAGTTAAAGTAAAGCATATTCGCCAAAAAAACGCAAGTCAGCCCCTACCATTGCCTTCATGATCAGCAAAATTGCAAGCATGACCGAGCCCATCACAAATGGTGGCCACAAAAACTACAAAAATGGAAGATCAATGGCTCTAAAAACAGGAATAAATAGCTAAACACATATATTAGAAAAGAAGAAACCAAATCCTAACCTAGTAGAAACATAAAAGTTATCAGGAACTGAAGCAAGACGTAATTCATGTTATCCATGTTTCAAAATCCTCAATCTCAAATTATCTACACCTCTTTAATACACCCAGTCGCTTGAAGTGGATTTTGACAAATAAAAAAAATAAAATAAAAATTTGAAGCTCTAGTTATTGCTAAATGTTTCAACAGTATTCTTTGCATTTTAATCTGAAAACTTTAATCTTCAACCTTCTTATAAGTAATGCAAATCAATTTTGAGGTATGCATCTAACAAGCTCGTGAATGCTTAAAAATCCTACTCCCTATATATTATTCACTGAAAAAGACATATAATCTGGAAAAGAACACTTCTTCATCACCACATTAGTATCAGCTGTGGAACTATCAATGACAGCATATAGCAGACACTAGCCATCGACCAAATTTGCACAGCCTTACATAGTTTAAAATAAATAAACACGTGAGATGACTATTCTACACATAGTGATGCATATTGTAATTCTTTGGTTATAGCTTTATGATGCAATAAATAGCTAAATTGCCAAATCAGTATGGTAGTTACTCTCTTGACTGATGGCGTGCTGGGATTGGCTCATCAATTACCTTGTTAAGTTTGTTAGTTGTAACCACAACTTAGCAAAATAGTCCTAGCTTTAAAGCGAGGAATTGGGGGAAAGAAGGGATATATCTGTGATATTGTAAATTCATTCAAGTCTACATTGTTCATCTTCTTCATCTCTATATTCTGAAATAAAATCTTTCCCACTCCTTCAAACTGTATTCTTCGTTTAATTACAGTTCCGGGAAGGGGGTTTTTTTTTGGGTGTCCAGGGGGAGACTCCAAATCTTAAAAGGAGGAAGGGAGAAAGGGGAGGGCTTGAAAGTTGAACCAGGGACCTCAAGGTCACCTGGCTAATGTTCCTACCAGCTAAGTTGTGTTTTGTGGACAACCCAGAGTATTGATCAACTTATATTAACTGCTTGAAAACAGACCAAAAGTGTTGAGAAGACTTATTTCAAACACAAGGCATACCTTATCTGCTCCTGCAATTATACTTTTAACCAGCGGAATAATTTTGCTACTACGTTCTATGTCGTATCCCAAAAAGTATTTCACTTGAGACAGGGCAATAACAAAGGCCGAAGCAGTTGTAAAACCAGAAATCACAGAGTGACTGATGAAACGAATTAGCCATCCAAGTCTAGAGAGGAAAAAAAATCACCAGTGTAAGACACTTCACGAATGCCAACCAGACAGAAATCATGTGAATAGCAAAAAAACAGCACAATTTTCAGTGGAGTAGAGAGAAAAATAAAATGACCTCTAGGCCAAAACTCTTTCTAGGAACAAGGAGAAATAAAGTACCATAAGCTACTTGTTAAGTCAGCAGCCAGCTTATTTTCTACTATCATGCACCAAAAACAAATAGCAAAATTCAGAGTAATAGCTGCCTTGACATCTAAAAGTAATAAAGTGGTAGCAAACTTAAATCCTTTGACAATCAGCATTAATATTGTACACTTCATGTTGATGATAAGTATGAGGCTTGTTCTACAAGTACATAACTATTCGTATCTTCGTCAATTTAAAATGAGAAACCTGTTGCAACAAAATTATCAGTTTCTACAAAGTTTTGAACATCCTTCCCATGCGAAATGCATGTGATACATTAGTGTTTTGATAGAGTATTATTTGGAATAATTACTGTAGCACTTTTTGTAATGTGATGCATGTGAGGAATATAAAAAGGGGGGTTGGAAAATGTGTTTATGATGCAAGTGAAATATTATGTGGAAAAATTTAGCTATCCAAACACTATTGCAATTTGGAAAAGTAGAAAAGTACATTACGACAAGTAATGCATAAAAATTAAATTATGGAACAGTTTAGTTATTCACATGAGAAGCAAACAAATGATAAGTACCTTAAGAGACCCATTATGCATTCCAATATACCAACCATTAGTGCCAGCAATATGGCAAGCTCTGTGTATAACTCCTCTGAGGAGTCCACTATGCGACCCAAGACATTTGAAACCAGAAGGGAAACTAATGCAACTGGGCCAATAGCAAGCTGGCGCGACGATCCGAATATAGCATATACAAATATAGGCACGAAACCAGTGTCTGGCATGGGAGCCGAAAAGGAAAGTGAATTGTGGTTATCATGGAAAAGTATAAGAAATGTATAAGATAGTAATCAGTCAAAAAAAATAAAACCAAACTACTCAGGTAAATAGTATGCTGCAAATAACATGCCTGTGGTGGTAATACTGCCACATGTCATTGCAATTTATTTGAAAGGGGGATCTTCCTTCCCACTGTTATCGATTAACAAAAAATCAAAGCAAAACCAACTTATAAAAGTAACCATATCCATATTCTGTCACTTTTGAGACTTTTGAAGGTTGATTAATGGAGTCAATACTGAGCACAGTAAATTACTAGGTCTGCATATTGGTTTCTTTACACTCCATCAAATCCATTAAAGACTAAAATCTTAAAATTGAATAAAGGTTTGATGAAAATTAAGCTCGTGCTCTTGCCTGTTTCCACATTCAATCTACTTTTTCAGATTGAGCTTCAGATTCGATCAGAGCTTCTTCATATTCGATTATGCAAGTAGTTAAGAAGAAATTATAGATGTTATTTTGAGCAAGGTGTTAATCAACTTGGATCAGGTTCTTTGGCACAGAAAAACTGTTAGGATTAAAAATGAAACTTGAAACTGTTTCTTTTTTCGATTACCATTCTTTGACTCCCCATTTTGCCTGAGCTATTGTCTATCAATACTCAGCTATTAATTGTCCTTAAACTAGAGCAATTTCCTGAATATAATCGAGAAAGAAAAGATACACTTACAAAGTCCATATATCGGCTGAAGCCCGGCAAGCTTTGCATAAGACATTGACTGGTCAAAGAACAGAATTCGTCAGAGAAAAACGCCAATCCATGTAATTGACAGTAGATGCATCATAAAATACAGCCACCAACAACATTATGCATTTAACCATCGTGCTAAATGATGGAACAAAAAGGAGCACGCGATAAGCAACATTAATGCTCAATGCTTTAAGCAACCAGAGGAGCTAGTCACCCGCGTATCTTACCATTTGAGACAGTTTGACCGAATCCACACTGTTAAAAGTAACTTGTTAACTGAAACTCCTACGAGAGTTGTCGAAGCTATAGTCTTCAGCAACTTATCAAACAGAAAACTAAAATCATATCAAAAGAAATGCTTGCACCGAACTGTACTCGTATGCCTTTTTAGAACCTACAGTTGCAAAATTCTTAAAAGAAGAATCCAGAGCGATGTCATGATAAGCAGGCATGATATTAATACCTGAGGAACGAGCATGATGCCGACGGTGAGGCCAGCCATGAGATCGATTTGCAAATATTCGCGCCATTTGTAGGTTCGAATCCAACGGTAACAAGGAAGGAACGTCTCGATCCACTCCGTCCACGTCATCCGCTTCACCTTCGTCTTCCATTTCTCCACAACCGAGTTGACCGCAGACTGTTTCGTATAAGAAGAAGACGAGGAATACGACGCCGTGTCCGATGGATGTTGCAAGGGAATAATCTTAACAGGCCGAGTCGTGGCCATCGAGCTGGAAGAAGAAGGAGGAGGAGGAGAACAGTCCGCTGCAGCAAGAACGAGGTTTTGGGAGCTGGAGGAGGCGTAATTTATCTCCATGCGCTTCCTTTTTGGCCAAAGGAAGCGCATGGAGATTGTTGGCGCGTTGGCTTGGAGCTGGAGGGCCCGGGTCGGGGTTGGCGGTGGGACTGCAAATTGCAATTGACTGACCACCGTATGGCGTAGGCGGGCTTATGGGTGGCCCCACCTGATAGGAGGAAAGTGGCAAATATACGGGAATTTGGGTGATGCTGGGCCCGCCTGGCGAATTTCCATATTTTAGTTGGAGGAATAAATAATTAAAAACTGGAACGTGGTCGATTAGATTTCGTGATCGGTTTTTAGAACTTTTCTTCTGCTGCCTTCGACCAGTAGCAGCATTTGCGTTCCGTTGTAGCGATTTGTTAGTTTTACAACTCTTCAACGCCAATTGGAAAATGGAAATCCATGTGCTTTTTCGCGGTAGATTTGTACTTGATGATTTGCACCTGAGAGTCAAAGACTCAATTATAGCAAATTAAAAGCGAAACGAAAAGGGTAACATCATAAAGTAGCAAACTAACTATTATATCAGTTTATGTAAAACACACACACAATAAAATAAAACAGACACTCTATTTGCTAGAAATAGGAGTAGTATTAAATATTTACAATGTGAGATCAACCCTAGAACATGTGTGATATGCAATTATTTTGATATTTTCCTCTAATTACACGTGTCTTGAAATCAATAACTGCTGAAAGAGCTAACAATAATAATAATAATTGCAAATTTAGGTTGATATATGAACGCATGAAATGGATTTGTCAATTTCATGAAAATATGAATAGAGTGAAATGATTATTCGTTTAAATCATAGTTATTTTAAACTCGACATGATCCGACAGTTGAACCAATTAAATCGATGGACTGACTATGGAATTGAACTGATTTAACAATTGGATCGGAGTTACAAACAGCTCGTTTTGAACTGTTTGATCCATATGGTTGAACCTATGACCTGTTAAACCCAACGATTTGGCGGGTTTTTGAAATTTTTTTTGAAATTAATTTTTTACCCAATTTTTTAATTTGATCAACCACACCAGCATGGGCATTATCGTTTATTTGACAATTAAATGAGAAAAATTGAAAAGAGATTTGAGAATTACGATTTCTTTCTTTTTTTTTACACTTAGATTTATCATTTATGTTTATGTATAATATCAATATGAATTCATGAACTAAATAACACGTATGGGTATGACTTGTACGTATGAACTATGAAATATAAATAGATTATGACTTGTTAACATTTAAGAATTTTCGTGTTTATATTATAATTTATATGTTTATTTAATCGTATTATTTTTTTTATTATATAGTGCGACCCGTCAATTGAACCACTTATCCGCCAATCCGGTCCTTTTTTTTCGAGTTGATGACCAGGTTGGTTTTAATAAATATGGTTTACATCATAATGACAAATGAGCTAACTTACCGTTAATACAAGCAAGCTGGTGTCAGGACAGATTTGGCATATTGCGCAGAAACAATTTTCATACTGCTTAAATCGCAACGACAGCTTATTAACTTTTTTGAAAGCTATACTTTACTTAACTACGTACCTTGTCATACTTGCTCTCTCGATGATATTATTAAAAAAAGGGAAATTTTTCTTTTCTAATTTCATCTACTTTATTAAGATTTGCAGTAGTTGCAATTTTCCAATTAGAGCACTTACGTATACGTAACAAAATGCAGGGGCTGTCATTGTAAGTTAAGAGTAGAAAAGATAAGATATTAAATGTAATCCATATACTAGTCAAAAATTGTACAGTAGACGCCGTGCATTGGGACGGTATAGCAGTCAAGTTCACTATGTATCAATTGGTTCTCTCTCTGGAATCTGGACACACTCGACTCGAGCGTAAGATGGATGCAGACGTGCGCGTTTTCGCTCGCTCTTGCATGTTATGCCGTATGCGGCTGCTTTGATTTTGCTTATATTTTAATCACAAAATGGTCAGATGTTAACGAGGAGAAATTGGACGGACAATTGTATTAAACAGCCGCCGGTCGAACATTGATAGTTCATGACCCGGAGAAAGTAGAATGATATTTAAGATCAAATTGGACCAAAATCGAATCTACTTCTAAAGAGTAAACTGTCTTTACTCCATTAAAATAACTTTGTCATAAGTACTAGTGAGCGTTAAACCATGCTCACTCAACGCGTGTGCAATTTTGAAATAATTAAAATGAATTAATGTTGTATAAATTATGTTTTTGAGATGGCGACAATTTATATAATTTATTAAAGAACTGTTCAGGCTCCATTTGGATTAACTGTTTTTTGTGGTATTTTTGAAAAATTTTACTATACCAGTGTATATGAAATTTTTTTTTGAAGTATTTGATATATTGTATGGATGAGATATTTTTTGAATTATTGTGTATTATTATAACATTATATTTGAAAAACTTATTTTTGAAAAAACAGTCAATCCAAACAGAGCCAATTTATAAGATTATAATAATTTGGTAGTCACAATAATTAAAGTGGTTATGAGTTTTGTCAACAAAAAAAAAGGTGATTGTGAAATTATGATAAAAATGAGTTTTTATAAGATTGAAAATTCAGAAAATAATCAAAAAATTTTACACCAAACTTTCACTCTTCTAGCTTTCTATATTGTATTGTATTGAACAGATAACACCAAACCTCGCCTACACTGGTTATGTTTGGTTACGAACTTTTGAGTAGAATATGATATGAAATCATCACAAATTATTACTTAAATTATGTTGAACAGATCATCTGTGTTACTTTACCAAATGAGGAAAGGGCAGATGGGCCAATGACAATTCTTGGGCCAAGCCATCAATTTCATGGCCCAAGCAGAGGACAAACAAAAGGACGCAGAATGGCCCCCTTTTGTGTCAGCACTACTTTTTCTTCAATTTTCGTGTTTTCGGGTTTGCGGAGGTTAATTGAAACATGGGCTCAACTTCTCTTCACAGATGATTCAAGGAACCCAATGCACGGATCGTGGACCTTGTTGGATCCAATTTTTGTTATATGGCTACACAACACACTAAGAGGTCGCATTCGGTATGTTCTACAACCAGGCCCAAAGAAAGGATGGCAAATTTCCAAGAGAAGCGAATTTGATATTGAAATCTTCCGATAAAGAAAATTGAGAAAAAGTCTTACAAGGACAAATGATTAGAGTTCTCCACATGCTAAAAAAAAGAGACTACAGGTGGCAAAATGGACAGGATTTCCTTGGATTTGAAATGGGATCGAGTAATATAGATTTAGGTGTAACCTTACCCATTTGTCTTGTTAGACTAATTTGGGCGAATCACTTTGAGATGGATTTAGATTGATCCTACACAATATACCCAAATCTATTTTCTGTATTTTTTTTCTTTTTCTTTTTTTAGGTCTTATTGTAAATTTATATTTTCTTGAGATTTAATTCCATTTTAAATCCATTATTTAAAAGACTTGTAAAATTATGAATACTCAATGCGTACCCAAACGATAGGTATAAATGAGATTAATTCCATTTTAAATCGTACCTAAAATTTCCTTTGGACATGGATAATTTATTGAGACTTGGAGCCCCTTAGACATAAGTGACTTGTTAAAACTTGAGATGGATTGACATCCTAAAAAAGAAAAAGAAAAAAGACAAAGAAGAGCTTATCATAACAAATATTGTATCCAAGGATTTTGTAGAATTTTCAAGACTAAAAAGGCACATTACCTCCTTTAAGGTAAAAAGAGAAAGAAAAAATGGAATCAGACGGAAAAGTAATCCAAAGAACAAAATCAAAGTGGAACTATATAACCCAAAGAAAAAACGTAAGAAAGAAAACCAAGTTACACCTAAGAGAAAACATTGCGACCCGCCCCCAGCCCCTTCAAAATTAATATAAAAAAAAAAATAAAACCATGAAGCAAGACAACCCCTGACAATCATACTACTGATTTTACGTTGCTTTTGTATGATCCGAATTCAACTCAGCGTATAACCGTAAATGCATAATCCGGCCCCATAAAATGCCATTTCGTATCATTTCCCAAAGAGGAATTGGTCATCAAATGCAAAACCTCACCACTCAACCAACAATTTCGACCCCTATACACGTGCCATCTTACTGCAGAAGGCCGCGACATATGCCTTAATTAATACGAGTATGGATTTCCTACTGTATTAGCAAAAGACTACAGTCGAGAGAAATCAACAGAAGGTAACGGAACGTTGAGTGTGATTTCTAATTAAAGGTGTGCCTGTGCGTGCTCCGGCTTATGACTGTATTCATAATCAAGATGAACAAAGGCACGCTCAATTTCAGGCAATAGCTCAAGCTTCTCTTGCAACGCCTCTCCAATGTCATGGGCCTCTTGCAATGGCATGTTGGCTGGCAAGACAATGTCGACCTCTACAAAGTAGTGAGAACCAAAAGTGTAAGCCCTGACTGTATCAATGTGCCGTATGGCCACGTGGTGGTTCCAACAAAGGTAGGTGAGCTTTTGCAGGTATTCTGGTGCAGCAGATTTTCCAACAAGGGAATTCACGTTCTCCAAGACAGTTAAGGACCAGGTACGGATAGTGTAGAGGGCCAGCTGAAAAAACATATACGAATACAACAGAAGGTCATAAAGATGAAGACAGAAAAAGCATCTTCAAAATGCAAGAAAGTTGAGAGAGAGGTTCAGATAGCCTAAAACCACTTAGAAAGAGCCCCCTTCTTACAACAAAGGCCAGAATGGCCTAACAGCTGCAACTGAAGATCAATACAAAAATCTGACATGCATTCAAAATACTGAAATTCAATTGGAAGCTAGGCAGCTTATTGCTGTCCCTTTCAGAATCTAACATATCATTTAGATTGTGGAATTGATACAAGGAGATGAGCATCCAGGGAAAGAAGTGCGACAAAGAAACATCTTCAGATGATACACACAAATTGGTTATCTGAATCTGGTTCATATACATCAGATGTGGCAACCACATTTTACTCCTAGATACGAGTAAGTTAACAGACTGACTAAACAAATCACTTCTCATGGTGGCCAATGAAACAGAACACAAAGAGGACTACAAAACCAGG